TGACAATACTTGAATTTATACTTACTGATAATGACAACATGATTTTGACTGCTGTCATTGTTTTCTTCTTACTGTTGCTGCTGTACTGCCTCAGGTGTGACAAAGAAGCAGGTAGCAGTTAAATCTACACGTGGCATCGCTTTGAAGTCCAGCCACGGGCTGGTAGTGAAAACAGGAGGAGGAGGCGGAGGAGGGCCCGGGGGTCACGGAGGAAAACCTGGACAGTCGGGACAGACTGGACCTGGCGGGGAAAATGCTCCCAAAAACACCCGCCAGTTCTTTGACGGTGAAGAGTCGTGCTACATCATTGATGCTAAGTTGGAAGGCAACCTTGGGCGTTACCTCAATGTAAGTGTGTTGACAGTGAATATGTTCATATGATGTGACTTTATGTGCCATCCCATGTGCTTTTTTTTTCCTCTGACTGCCATTTCTGGTACTTCTCTGTATTACAGCACAGCTGCAGCCCTAATCTCTTTGTCCAGAACGTATTTGTGGACACACATGACTTGCGCTTCCCCTGGGTGGCGTTCTTTGCCAGCAAGTGAGTTTTAAAGCAAATTTTGTTACCGATCCTGTGTTGTTATTTTGTGAATTTTGTCGACTGAAAACAAAAATAATGCACCGGGCTGGCTTTTTGTGTGTTTGAGGTATCCATAAGAATGAGTTAGAATAATTAGATTAATTAATTAGATGCCAAAACATTGCCCACTGATTTTATTACTGTGAGGAAGCATTTTGCTACTCTTGGAAGTTAATTACACAACATTCTTCTGTCATTATGACAGCTGAACTGTAGAACTGGACTGTTCACATTACACATGAGTCTAGTAGAAACGTGCATGCATCTGATTGGCAAATGCCGTGTGTTGCAGTAGAAGTTGAGCCAAACCTTTATACAGGTTGATTGAGTTAAAAAAAAAAATCATTTACTATTCTTTAGACATTATCCCTTTACTAAAGGGGATAGCACATGGAGTGGACAGTAAATGAGGGCAGGGAAAAGGAGGACGACAACAAAGGCCCCTGGACAGACTGGACCATGTGGAGGCCTCATTTTTTTGCTGATGCTCTCTGTGCCTGTAACCTATTGTGTCCGTGCAACAGTCTTTTTGATGCCTTTGTCTGTCTGGATACACCTTAGGGTGGCACTACTATGTCATGTATTGTCCTGCCATTGAGTTTTATTGGACTGTTATATTCTCTACTGGTTTGTAGTAAAAAGCCTCACCATCAGTAGAGATGTAAATACATAGAGCACCATGTCTCATTTACCCATTTTCACACACAAGAAAATGGCAGCAAGCAACGACTGTGCTGACTTATTGTCTATATGGTGTTAAGCTCCTGCCCTGCATTGACTTGTCTGCTCGTGTCCTTGTGCAGGCGGATCCGGGCCGGCACCGAGCTGACCTGGGACTACAACTATGAGGTGGGCAGCGTGGAGGGCAAAGAGCTGCTTTGCTGCTGTGGATCCACTGAGTGCAGAGGAAGATTGCTGTAACTCAAAGTTTTCATGAAAGGACCCTTTTTGTTTTGTTCAGTTTTTAAGAAGAATTTTAAAAAGTTGTTACCAGAAGCTAAAAGCTATGATATTGTTGGCTGAATACATCTGAATAAAATGTTTTCTTCAGTGAACCACAGCTCCTATAATCTTCTTTTTATATATACTGTGTGTGTATGTGTATACATACACATACACACACATATACAGTAATAATACGCACATATAGTGTGTGTGTGTATATATGCTATATGTGTGTGTGTGTGTGTGTGTGTGTGTTAAGATTATAATGAAAGCTCAAAAAGTTAAATGTAGGCAGAGGTTACTTTCACAAATTATAGTTATCAGTATTTGGGATATATTCCGTATGAATAATGAAAATATAATGCTGAATTATGATTTTGTATTCTTATTCAGATGTTTTATGTAAAAAGAAAACAGTAATAAACCAATTATTTGTTAAATGTCTAAGCTGTTTTAGGTTCTCTTTATTTACTGGAGCTCACGTTGTTCTGAAGATGCTAAATGAGCAGATGTAAATCCGTTTTTCCAATTTAAATCCAATTTACCACCGATATGTGACGTTTCTGCCGGTAACTTAAAACACACGGGTTATCAGCCGAACTGACCAATCAGCTTCTTGGCCCACTGTAAATAAACCAAACAGTGGTCCGTCACGCTGTGAACGACGTCTGTTCTGATGTAGACAACCGGATTCATATCAGCGTTCATCAGATATTTTACTGATTTCCAGAAAGATTTGTTAAAATGTTTTACTACCCCACAGTTTTAAGGCGTCATACTGGATGTTTTTCTACAATCTGGTGAGTTAAAAGTATTTAGGCTTTTTAAAAATGAACGTATAACTTGTTGAAAGCATTTGTAGGTTTTTCTTTATAGTGGTGTTGACTGTGCAGCCGACAGGCCACCGTTAAACAGACATTCGTCTTCAATACAAGTTGTTTGCTATAAAACCACTGATTTTAAAGAACACTGGATCCACCAGGGCTTTTGGGGGGAAATTGGGCTGCTGAAGTTGATGTGAGCTGATAATTGTGCATATTAAGAAATTCCTAAAGCGTTAAGGATGGTTTTTGAACGACTGTAATGTAGTCTTCCAAAAATTTACTTCTTAATTTCGAGTTAACAAGTGAGAAGCACAATGTTTCATGGTATTAAGATGTACACAACAGATTTAGTTCTTTACTAGGAAACGGGCTCGATTTGTGTAAACTCTGCTTTTCAGTGACTTAATTATTCTGATATTTCTGCAGATCTTTAGATGCAGAGAATTAGACCTAAGGGGGGAGAAAGCCAGAGTTCAGGTGCATGTGTGGCAAAAGGCCTACAGACAAAACAAGAAGTCTTTGAAGTCCCTTTAAAAAAACAGCTTTGAAATAAAAATGCACATGGATTTGTCAGTGTGAATACAACTAGAATGACCACATCACAGTAAAGTAACACAATGCAATTTGCCAAATGAAGGTTTAAGGCCATTTTGGTCACAGTTCACTAAAAGCTGATTACTGGTCACTGTAATGTGAGGAAGAAATTGGTAGATTATTAGTATCTGTAGGATTATTCTGATACAGTGCCTCCAGTTAATGTTAATTGGTCCTCAGCTAAGTTCATCTCCAGTTGCCAGTATAGCTGAGGATGCCGTATAGTTGGAGTTTAGTTATAGAAACCCGTACAAGTTGAGAAACCCTCAGCAGATTGCAGTTACTGCCGGTTGCTAGTACAGTCGGAAGGTTAGATTACTTAATCCAGATTTACTCCTGATAATTAAGATATGAAACAAGATGCCCTGTTTTCTATTCAGGTTGGTTGCTACAAAGGGTATAAAGGTTCCTCGCCGGGAATTCCTCAAAGTGAACATCATACGCACCTGGTAAAAATGTTAGTCATTTTAACAGTTTATAACTGACTGAACAGTGAACCATCCATTACAACAAAACTGTCACCAACAGCGAGGACATCATGAACTACATCCTGGCGCGAGTCCCACCACCTCTTCCAGATCTGCCGCGACCTCGCTTCTCCCTCTACCTGTCCTCCCAGCTCCAGTATGGCATCATTGTTGTCTACCACCGCCAGTGTGCTATTCTCCTGGGTAAGAAATGATTAACAGACTGGAGGGAAGTGCTTAGATGGGTGCATTAGTTCTTGACCTTGACCATGTGTCTATCTAGAGGAGCTTCATACTATCGTGGCCCAGCTTTTGAAACAGAGGACATCCCAGAAAATTGACATGGACGATCAGAGGTGAGAACAGTTGCTCTGTATTCCACATATTTACCTGCATTTGCAAACACAAAATCAGTTTTTTGCTGCTGGAATCTCGGTTTGTCAGAAAATTTCAGGTCTTTCCGGATGCTCTGGCTGTTCTGGAGGAGACAGAAGGTGCTTCGGACCCTTTATTCGGAGTGATGTACATGCAGGATGCCCTACCTAGTCCCAGTGCACTGATAAAGGTACCAAATACCAAAGAAATGGAAATAAAATCCAAATTTAGCAAGTATTTGTAGGTGAAGGCTAACCTGGAAATAATCAAAGTAATTGTACTGATATAAAGTAAATGTTCTCCATCTGTTCTGTGTCTGTCAGAGGCATGAGGAGTATGTGAAGAAAGCCTCTCCTGTGCGCCCTGGCCTGGCCAGCCCAGCTGCTGCAGCACCAGAAAGTGGTACAAAGCTGTAGTAACAAAAATAATGATCTCTCTGGGGCATTGAGTCACTGTAGCAGTAAAAACAGAAAGAAGCCAAAATAACTATTTACACACAACTCTTAAGATGAACACTAGATGAACACCTGTAACAAAATATATCTCAAAATCATAAAATGAAACCGAATATAAAACCTGATTAACATTAGATTATTACAACGCTAGAAAGTCTTTATGCATTCTCTGTCTTTGTGTAGCATTTTTTAACCTGGTCTCACCTCACAAGCACATGGTGGCCTTTTTCAGCATAAGCCACAGGTTGGACTCAATTTAACAAAATATCTGCCAGGAATCACTAAATACAAGAATATGGCATATGTACTTATGAAAAGATATAAATATTTAGTGCTAACCACTAATTACATTATAGAAGTTTGACGTTTTAAATAAAATGTAGAAATGTATTAATATAATAGTCACTTAGCACAAAAGGTGATTTGATCCCATGTTTTTGTGCCTTTTTCTTAAAGGCCCAGTTATACTGTATGCTTTAAAACACAGTTTGAAAACCTAACTGAGAAAGTCTAAATGTTAGTTCAAATAAAGGCTATAGTGTTCACAGGTCCTTTATAACCTTGTTCATGCAATTAGCCTTAATTAGAACACTTCATAAAACAGTACAATACAATTTGGAATCATTTATATCATCAGTATATACTCAATATACCCATTTTTTTGTTGTATAGCCTACTGTACATTGAATACTGTTAGGTTACCCGAACTGAGCCCGATGGAAACCTGATGGTTCGGGTTGGGTTTGGACAGAAATGTAGAAAGTATGTTCAGGTTTGGGTCAGGTTTGGACACATAGGTCAGACTTTAGGCTAGACGGCTGGAGCACTCAAACATCTGTTTCCTGTAATGATGGGTAAAACACTGTACAAGCTCAACTACATCGGGCTCTTGTCAGGTTCAGACGCCACACTCTCGACCCCAGGGCGGGTTTGGACAGAAATATATTGCCTGATCCCTGCTCTAATTGAAGTTATGACAATATAAATAAAACATGCTCAGTTTATTCACTGATGAACAGAGTGCAGGGGGTTAATGAGGCCTAGAAGATGTCTTGGTCTGATGCCATATTATAGCAGTTCATGACAGGGCTGACACACAGAGTCAGACGAGGTCAAGGTCAAAGTGTTTATTTGTCATATGCACAGATAGGAAACGTGTTTCCCTGTACAATGAGATTCTTACTTTGCCGTCCACATGAATGCCACAAAATACAAATGAAATATAAAGTAGATGAGCAATAACACAAATTTAAATAGGCAGTAACACAAATCTAAGGCACTTTAAAGCAGCAGGTGAAGGAAGCAGTAAAAATACAACAGGAACACAATATAATGCAGAGAGAATATATGCCACGTGGGAGCCGTGGAGTGTAAATACTCAGCAGTGAGTGTGCAACTATGCATGTGCAAAATGAGTATGAAACAGTACAGATCGAATTACATGACGTAGATCCTGAGTCAGCTGTTATGGAGACTGATGGCAGTTGGAAAGAAAGAGTTTTTCAGTCTAGAGGTCCTGCATTTTACACCTGTGAGCCTCTGACCGGAGGGTAGGGAAGAGACAACCACTCACATTCATACCTATGGGCAATTTAGAGTCTCTGCTGTGTCAGATCACGTCAGATTGGACCCAAAATGCAGACACAAGTTGAGGGATAGTTTTAGTAAAAATCTAATAAATATTGCACAAGAAACCAAAGGAGAAATACAAGGGCTCAACGTGAGAGGGCTACAGTGCTTACGATGCAGGAGCACAGGGTGTGGTGAGCGGAAAATGGGCCAGCAAGTGACTGGGGGGGAAAGGAGGAGGTACTGTATATATGGGCTGAAGACCAGGGGGTAATGAGCAGCAGGTGGAAACAATGACTGGTGATTATGAGCCGGGGTAAAGCTGGGGCAGGTGAAGTGACACAAAACAGGAAGCAAGTCCACAAACCATAACACACTGAATCTAACCTGCATGTCTTCGGGCTGTCAGAGGAACCCAGAGTACCACTGCCTACTCTAACCAACCAACTGAAGACTGAAGAGAAAACACTAGACCTGTCCTAATTATGTCATTTTCAGCTGTTCGCTATGCAGCTTCACAGAAAGGCTTATAAACATGTGTCCAGAGGTGTGCAGTATGTCAGGTTGTGTGCTGTACCAACAGGTCATAGGAACAGACAGGGCTCAGGCTGTGCATTTCCAGCCAGAAATACCAAGCAGCACAAAGCAGACACATCCTGCTGGCGCTCAGGTCAGGGCAGAGAAGACTATCTCTAACAACATCCGCCTAATTGGCTGAGGCTGGTGCTGCGATGTCATGGAGTGTTGTGTAGCAGGATTTCAGTTGCTTGTGTAGCTGTTGAAATAGCGCCTTTTTATGCTCATTGATTCCTTCTTTCCTCAGCCATAACTGCGTCTCCAGAGACCATCACCTTGAGGGAGCCAGAGCCTGCCACTATCCCCACTGCAGAGGTACACCAGTCAAAGGAAGCACGTTTGAAGACATACACATACATGTATTTATTTTCATGCATTCTTTTCTAATTCTAGTTTGAGGGTGTGGACCTTGTCGAATCTCATCCAGATATTTATGACATCCTCCTTGCTGAAGAAGATGACTTTCCAGAGAGTGAGTGGTGAAACTTGGAGCTCCTTTCTCCCATGAGACTCAGCTGACAACAGAAGTGTTGGAGGTGAAAAGAAAGGAAGTCCTCACATTGTATGTTTTTCTTCTTTAACCTTTTCTAACATTAGAGGTAGAGATACCAGGAGAAGAAGTGACACCAGCAGAGCAAAAGAGGGAGGTGGAAAGAGAAAGAAGAGAGGGAGACCTGGAGATGGAGAGAAGAAAGGAGCTCACAGGATCCACTCTTGAGTGAGCAGTCCAGCTACTCATGTGGACGCATCAGTAAAAACACACAGATAAACTGACTGTCTTTCTTCCTGCCAGGGTACAGCCCGCCTCTCTCACCAGTGAAGATGCAATATCGTTGCCCCAGGAAGAGCCCGCTGTGTCCGTGGAGAAGCCCGGATCCCCCGCAGACCAGCTCACCCCAGTCTCTGTGCCCGCCCTCCCCTCCCCACCGTCTGCCGCAAAGGAACATAGAAGACCAAGTCCAGAATTAGAGGTGCTGCTTCTGTGGCTTTGTTCAAGAGACAAAATGTGGTCCCACAATCTAGTGAGGTGCACTTTCTCAATATTTAATGAGCAGCAACAAACTACTAATTCATAACTTATTTTTAAATGCCTTATAGACCAATTTATCTATTTATGGGTTGCCAGCTGATGAAAATCCTTTTTCTGGTGTTTAAGCCCATCCAGAATGACACTTGGAACATTTCTTTTTTTGTTACTCAGTTATGTTTTGATTTCAATAATAGAACAAATGTAATCAGCGAACGCCTGGTGCTTACACCTCTTTTAAAGCAAATCTGCTCCCTGAAAAGACACCAAGATGAAAAAACAAACCAAATTCACATTTCCCTTTCTGATAACCCATTATTATGCTTACATAAATGTCAGTAAATAGTTAATAGAGGTTGTTCACAAGCCTGAAGCTGTAAATATTAATACACTGATACTGAATTAATTGTGGTCTGTTGGGGGGCTTTATTTACAATGAAGGAAAGAGTTAGTAAAAGTTGAAGGAGGGCACCAGAAAAGGGGGGTTTTCCACAACCTGGCAACCCAAATGTTGTTTTGGTTTATGGTTTATAACTGATATATAATAGGTTAGCAATCATTAATAAAAACCAATTGTTCCAATTAAAACCCCTGATAAAGTTAGCATTACTGTAAAGTGCTGCCCAGGTGCATTTGACAGGTGGAGGACAGCTTCTGTAAATTTACTTCCCATACCCCTGCCACCACCAGGGTGTGCCTACTCCAGAGGAAAGGGAGAGGAAGAAGAGGAAGAAGAGGCAGCTGATCTTCTTTGACCCGGAGACGCAGATTCCACAAGACGTGCTGCAGCAGCAGATCAGCAACCCTCTGACTTCGACCAGACGTCCAGCCTTCCCAGTGCTGTCATCTCACAGGCATCAGTCTGCTGCTGATCTCCTCGACAAGCCCTGCACCTGTCAGTAACACACCTGTACACAGTATAGGAATGCACACTGGGATTCTCCACAGAACACCTGTGTGTGGACTGTGGGTGTGTAGGGGCTGTTACACAATCTGTCAACACTGCATCACAGTGGGCAGTCTGACACTAACACACCACTTCAGCCTTGTGTGTTTTATAGTGTATCGCTGTCCCAGGTTTAAATACTGCATTACTACAGTGTTGTGTTGTTCCAATCAAAACAGAAATGTGTTCATTTTAAACTATACAATTCACAGTAGTTGTATGCATAATTCTACATCTAATTCATCTTGACAGGGGCGGATCGAGAAAGTTTTGGATGGGGTGGCCAGGCTGGGGCACAGTCTCAGAGAGGGTGGTACATTTGAAATACATGAAAAGAATAAAATGAACCCCTAGTTCTATGAAACCATAAGCCATACACGATTAAGAATCAAATAGTTTCATGTATTTTGTGTAAAAATGACAAACACATGGTGTTCTTTTAACTTTGGCCGCGCTCCTTATTTACTCTGTATTTACATTGCTGATGCACAGGTATCAATTATAAAGCACCAGGAAAATGTTAGTTGTATTTAGGGCAACAATTTGTCATTGCTTTTCATTTTTCATTCACTAATACTGACAAGCATCACATTTTGATTCTGGCAGGGGTGGCACCAGCCCCCTGCAGAACCTGACTGGCCGCCCCTTTTCTCCTCCCATGCATCTTGACCTAACGTTTCTCTAAATTACAACCACTTTGCCATACTCTGGGAACAGCTGCCGTCTCCTTGTGCCGCACTGTGAAACATTGTTCATTTATGTCATAAAGCATTCCAGCAGAAACTGTGAAATGCAGATGAAGCTATTATTCTTCCCCAACTGTGACGTTTCTAAATTGTCATAATGATTTACTAAAGCATAACATATGTCACATTAAGTCTCCTTTCTTCTCAGACTTCTCATCTGCAGCTACTACTCTTTGAAAGGATGTGACTCATGTAGCCTTTTCAAACATAAACCTCTTTTTTTTTTTATCTTTGCAGTTTTGCCTGAAAACATACAGTTTCTGTGGAGACAGGCTGCGACCATCACGCCGGTCTCTGGCTCGGACCTTCAGATTGGGGAGCGAGGGCCTGAATCCACCGACTCTGAAAAGGAAAGAGAGTGTGAGATGGTGGAGGCGGCCGAGGCAGCTGAAAGAGAGCAAGAGAGAGTTGGGCGCAGCCTAGAGGAGGTGCATAAGAGAGTCTGTTTTTATGTGGTGCTAGTACAGATACTGTATGTGTGAAACCTTTTTGTGCAGGGAGATGACTAGAAATGTCACAAGATGAATAACTGTGGGTGTGTGTCCATACAGGTCCCCAGAGATTTGTCTGAAGCAGAAATCTCTGATATTTCAGGTAAAAAAAAAAAACATTTTGCAACTCAACCCACTGGAAAACAGATACATATGGAATTGAAACAGTTTGACTGGGAACGTGTTTGTAATTAACTGCGGGTGAAATAGTTGCCCTCTAGTTGCATCAGGCATGAACTAAAGTGGTTTGTGCATTCACACGGGGGAGGCTGAGGTCAGAGGTTGGGGTTCGGCATTTATCACTTATGGTTAAAGGTTAGGGCAAGCTTCCAGGGAATGAATTTAACCCAGTGCACTGCCCTCTAACACATGCTGAACCAATCTGTGTGTGTTCATCCAGGCTTGGGTGCACTGCCAATCGAGGGCGCTGAGCAAAAGGAGGTGACTCGAGAGATCTCACCTGTGTACACACCTGACATAGAAGGGTAGGTAGCAAAGACATTTAGAGACAGTGGGAGTGCAGTCATGCTTACATACACACGTGTGTGTTTCCAGTGTTTCCAGGACTGTTTCTACACTGCCGGACATCCCAGAGGCAGCGGACGAGTCTGTAGAGACAGCAGTAGAAGAGATTCCTGGGTAATGTCCCTGAATGCAGCACCATTACTAGCCACTGTAAAACTCAGAGCTGACAGTCTTTTTTATTAGGTGGGCTTTAGAATATGATCATGTGCTTGTTTTGTTCGTGTGTGTCTTCTAGCCTGTTGCCGGAGTTGCCTGAGCATGAAGGGGAATCTGTGCTTTTTCATTCTCTTCTGCCGCCAGAGGTCGACCGCAGAGCTGTCTCCATCATTTTTCAGAGGCTCCTGGGTAAGGGATCAGTTTCAGTTCAGTTACCCTCAAATCATCTTTTTACTCATGTTGAAATCATGTTATTGTAAAAGCATCAGCACCAGATGAAGATCTTACGGGTGGCCGGCTACTACTGGCATCTGGATGAGTGGGACCAATAACACCAGGGGTTTTTATGGACAAGAGTTCTTAGGAAAGAAAAGATTCTGAATCACATCTTCATTTGTTGTCATCTTGATTTTTGATACTGATCTTTCCATGTTCACTTAGTGTTCATCACACTGGTTTGCTTCAATATAATGACTGTTTTAAACAATGTGTGTGTCCTGTGTGTAGAGAACCTATCGGCCAAGAAGGTATGTGCGGAGCAGGTCGAGCCTTATGGAGACATCTTGATATACCCTGGGCCCAGCTTCTAAGATTTGGATTTGATTTTGTGACAAGTATGTGGTTGTTCATGTGTTCTGTTATTTTATGTGTTCAAAATCCTGGACTCGAACGATACAGACAAAAGATTTCACAAGATTTGTTGCTGGTGTATCTTGTTGACTTGTTTCAAATGATTTTGATTTTTTAACCATTTTACCTGCTACTTTCATGAATCTATGCATTTTTCATTGTTCCCTATTGTTAATATGGCCAACTTTAGGAACTTTAACCATTTTTATTGTCATATGTTTGATATTTTTAATGAACTCACCTCATGTTTTTCTGCACAGAAAGAAGCCTGTACTTTTGTGCTGCTGTGTTAATGTCTCCCTTTGAAATTGGATTACAAAATAAAAGGTTTATATGAGCTCAGTTAATTCTGTGGAGAAAACGTGCTATATATTGAAAGGTATGCGCAGCATGCTGAGGGGGACAGGTGTGGTGAACCTATTGCAGGGTTAAGGAAGTACAAGGAGGAGAGTACGTGAGTGGAGTGAAACTGGATCGGTCTCCCCTCCTCCCAGCCCTCCTTTTTGCCTGTCGGTCACTCCTACTGCCCACATCTTGATTCTCCTCTAAAGAAGTTCTCAGGGGGTTGTGACCAAAGTTTATTATTAGCGTCTGTCTCAGCTATCTCCTCCTCCTGTTTTTGCTTCTCATTTCTGTCTGACATTTTCTGTTTGTCTTGTACTTCAGTTGTTTTGTTCCCTTTTTCCGACATTTGAGTTTCATTTTTTTATGTTCCTCTTCAGGTGTTCTTTCTTCAGGTAGCTTTGTGACTAAACTCTGTAGTTGTCTGCTCCTTTGCTCCTGGTTTCCACTGACAACAGTGCAGGCTTGTTTTTGCTTTATCACTTCTTGATGTTCTCTAGTTTTTCTGTGCCTATGCTTTCATATTTTATTGTCCTGTCCTCCTGTTTTTCTGTTGCCTCTGCTTCACCTCACTATAACCTCCCTCCATCCTCTTCTCTTTCACTCAAGTTTGTCTTTTGTCTATGTAGCTCTACACGTCTGCACAATGGGAAAAACAGACTTGTATTCTCTGTATAAGGGTTTTCTGGACTGCATTTGCCTCTGCTTCACTGTGAGTACCCCCACTTCATTTTCTGTGCATGGATTTGCTGTGCAGCAGTTTCTTTCTACAAATAAATCACCTATGCATCATGGCACTATATTATTTAGTTTCTGCCTTCCACAGTTTTCTATCAAACTAAATGCAAACCGTGTGTGTGTTTATGTGTCAGTGCTTGCTTTGTGCACACAGTGTTTCCTCAGCACTTGCTGAGCTTTTGATATTAATAACATTCTCAGAATGTGGATGGAAATAGATCCAGGATCGACATTGATGTATAAGCTCACACTCTGAAGGAATGTTAAAAGTCATGGTAGCATTAAGTCACTTTGTAGTTTGTTTCATTGTGTATGCGTCGAATGCATCAGTCTTAGTGAGGTGCAAGTCCAGCTGGTGACCTTTGCCCGACTAGAGGTCAGATGTTACTTAGTGTGTTTTTAGTTGGACAGTGATAAAGGTGACTGGTTCATCTCTGCCCTGATTTGTCATACACTGGGTTGACTTTGTTTCCAGCAGAGCAGCGATAAGGCTGCAGGCAACAATGCGAGAGACCCAGAGAATGGTCACCTGATCTACAAATGTGGGGACGTCCTCGAGGATAGATGTATGTATGGGTTCTCTTCAGAAAGTCTATGTAAAAATGCTGCAGCCTTAATTTCCCCTCAACCTGTCTTATAGATGAGATAGTGAACACTTTAGGCCAGGGCACTTTTGGGAAGGTGGTGCGTTGTTTGGACCACAGCAGGTAATTTGTATTATCTAAAAAATAAAATGGGAGCAATATGCATTGTGTGTACTGTTATAGCTTTAAACGGTGTTTTATAACACAGAGGAAGAAATCAGATTGCTCTAAAGATCATTAAGAACCTGGAGAAATACAGAGAAGCAGCCAAACTGGAAATCAATGTGCTGGAGAAGATCAGTGAAAAAGACCCACACAACAAACAGTGAGTTGTTTCTGCCCTGAAACAATGATTCTCTTTTTCAGTCTTATACTTTCATCTTTGTGTTTCCTCCCCCATCAGTCACTGCGTGCGGATGCTCGACTGGTTTGACTACTACGGCCACGTGTGTATCTGTTTTGAGCTGCTGTCTCTCAGCACCTTTGACTTCTTGAAGGCAAACAACTTCCTGCCTTATCCAATTAGCCAGATCCGACACATGGCCCACCAGATCTGCCACGCTGTCAGCTGTGAGTCCAATATGCAACACACCACGTGTGCAGTGCTGCCTTCCCTTTTGTCCTCTACCTCTGGATCAATGTCAGTGATGACAGCAAGCAGATTATTCACAGACGTCTCACTGATAGGTAGCGGTAGATATTTCTAGGCTGACTGTCACGTCAAGATAATACAAGTGTTCCTGATTCCAAATTGATGTGAAAGACAAACGCACCTACGGCTGCGCCTTATTATTTCTATTATCCATTAATCTACTGATGATTATCTTCATTAATTGATTAATAGGTATTAATAGATATATTCTATAAATCTTTAGAAATGACCAAATATTGCTAATCTCATTTTCCCAGAACCCCAATGAATTGTCTTGCTTGTTTTGTATATAAATAAACTCTTATAATTTTCCAGAACAGCATGTTAAGCACACTCTTGATTATTTGTGGCACCAACACAAGCACCACTAAAGCAACAAACACTGCAACTTAAGACTTTCATGTGGTTTAATTCTGTCAACATTTCATCAGACAGGATGATGTCATCAGGGTTTATCCCCCCATCAGTCTGTCATGGTGTCCGCTGTTTTCCCATCTGACCAGAGGAGGGCGTCAGCTCACTCCAGATATCGCAGTTTCATTTCTTTCTGTCCCACTTCCTCTGTCTTCACTGCAGTTCTCCATGACAACAAGCTGACTCACACTGACCTGAAGCCTGAGAACATCCTGTTTGTCAACTCAGACTACTCCCTCACATACAACACTGACAAGGTTAGAAACAACTGTGTGTGTTAAGGCTGGGACCTTCAGAAGGGACAAAGAAAACCAGGATGTAAGTGAGGATTAATAAATCGGGATTAATGCTGGCAGAGCCATGAGATTGCTTTGTGGTTGCCCATTTGAATGCAAATTTGCCTTAGCAGAGCCTGTGAACCACCCACTTGTTCCCTTTATAGGCACATATTTCTACAGGAAGACTGAGTTTGTGTTTGTTGACCTAAGTGCAACAATGTGTAGCATCTTTGAAGAGATACTGTTAAAAATCACTTTTGCTTGAGCCTTGTTTTGTAGCCTTTGTCATCTTTGCACTCTGTCCTAATGGCATTACACTGATGACGAATTGCTGAGATCTGAAAATGAATAAATATTTTACTAAGATGGAGGAGGAACACCTTGTACCACTCAAGCTAGGTTCCACTAAATGCATAATTAACACAATCTCAGAAGTGGACAGTCTGCACATAAAGCTAAACGTGTTGCCTTAACAGAGCTTAAAAAAGTAGGGATATTACAGGAAACAAACCTATCACTGACACGCTCACTCCACCGTGGCAATTTAAAATAACCAAAATGCATCATTAAACGCAGCCTTGAGCTTTTTCATCACTCTCTTGCTGTAAGAACACCATAACTGAGCAAAACAAAAAGAAATACAATAAGATTTAAACAACAAAAACTTAACAACATCAGTGCAGTTCCCAAATTTGCAGGCCAGGGTATTGGCCTGGGCGTACAGTATTGGGCACTGACTCTTCAACGTCACTAAAAAAGATGTATGGATAATGAAGCAGGAGCAGTGAAATTATACAGGCTTTTAACAGGCCTCCATGTAAGCCAAGCTTAGGTAGAAACATCCTTTACAATAAACAGACTTCATGGTTCAGATTTGACCTACTGCATCCAGAGGAATAGTCTGACAGTCTGAGAGACGAGCTTACTTTGCTGAGCGTTAGATACAAAGATTGATGATCTCAGTCCTGTTGGTGTGAAACTATAACCAGCAGCTGTTTAGCATAGCTTAGCATAAACACCATAAACGGGGGGAAACAGCTAGCCTGACTCTGTGTGAAGGTAACAAATTCCACCTGTTATTTCTAAATTATGTATGTCCTGTTTAATCTGTACAAAAGCTGAACTGTGAAAACAACAAGTTAGCTACAGTATGTGTGTGGGATTTTGCTGCCATGTTTCCAGATCTTGGACATTGCATTGCTGGGCACAGCATTATTATAACTAAAAAAAAAAAGATGACCTGTGCTCTGAAAATAGGAAGTAACTAATAATCCTTTCAATTAGGTAATTTTGGAGACTTTTTGTTGTCTTTCTACAGAAATGCAATGAGAGGAGAATAAAAGACACCACAGTGCGGCTAGTTGACTTTGGCAGCGCCACCTTTAACCATGAACACCACTCTGCCATCATTTCTACACGTCACTACCGAGCTCCAGAGGTTATTCTGGGTAAGAGATGTTGATTTAGACCAGGGATTAACCAGGAGCTGCTGGTTCTGTTTAGATAGTTTTGGTCTCTTTTTTTGCTGTCTTACAGAGTTGGGTTGGAGTCACCCTTGTGATGTGTGGAGTATCGGCTGCATCCTGTTTGAATACTACAAAGGCTTCACACTGTTCCAGGTCATATGTGTATTTCTACCTGTAGAACTTAAGCATGTTGAAAGCAGGATGGACTTGATTTTGTTGACAAATGTGTTTGCGTCTAGACTCATGACAATAAGCAGCATCTTGCTATGATGGAAAGAATACAGGGACCAGTTCCTCAGCGAATGATCCAGAATAGCAGGTAACACAAAACTGCACCCTTTTAATTATATCCAAACACACACTGAAGCACTTTTTTTACTTTTATTTTTCCTTAAGAAAGCAGAAGTACTTCCACTGTGGGCGTCTAGACTGGAATGAGTGCTCCAAGGCTGGACGCCACGTGAAGGCGAAATGCAAACCGTTAAGGGTGAGCTGCAAACTATTAAACATGATCCTAGCACATCAACTCCCTGAAACAATATGTTTCTGTTTTAATCCATGTTCTTTCAGAAGTATTTGTTGTCACATGGAAGAGAACACCACCAGCTGTTTGACCTCCTGGAGAAAATGCTAGAGTATGAGCCCTCAAAACGTATCTGTCTTCCATCTGCCCTGCATCACCCTTTCTTCCTGCCCCTCGTTCATCCAGAAAGAAATCAAGTGTGGAGGAACAGCTGTGATATGAGCAGATGACCCCTAAGAGGAAAAGTTGACAAACACTGTGGATGTAAGGAGTCTTAGGGAAAAAGACCCCACAGTAATCATTTTATTGAGGTGATAATCCCACAAGCCATGAAAGAATATACTCCTTGTGAAGTCACTAATGGAGACACTAGTGAAAGAGTGAGGAAGGATAGCTGAAGATTGGGATAAATGTGAGCTGGAGCCAGATTCCTGGACGGACACACTGGACGGGTGGTTCTGATGAAACTGAAGGTCACTGGGGTGGAGATAGGTCATATGAATCAGACTCTGGAATGACAGCTGGTCTTGGTTGAAGTGTCCTCAGTCAGCTGATTGAGTTATAAGTGGGATAAAGAAACAAATCTAAGGGAAATTAAGGTGTTAAGTAAATCAAAGCAATTTTATTCACATTATGTAACAGATTTCACTATAAATAATCTCAATTTACCTTTCATCAAAGAAGATTGTTATAATTATGCAGCAGCTGATTTTTGGCCATGGGGGCATCAGAAACAAACAATGAACAATTTTAATACATCATGTATTTTTAACTGGGAGGCTTTTTGGTACAATCACCAGATATGGAGCATTATTTTGGAGACATGGTGAATATACTTCCAGTATTCACTCTCTTTTAGCTCTGTTTTGGTCTCCACCAGGTCCTGTCAGAAATGTCTGGCCCTATCTGCTAAAAGCTCCATTATGTTTCTCCTTGCATCGGGCGCTGAGCAGGTATTATACAGTCAGTTTTTAAAACTGTGTTTTCTGCAAACAACTGCTTGCTGCTGCTGCTGAAAACAACACTGATGAGTGAACCAAAACAGTAAAGCCGCTGGCCAGAAAACCAAACACTGAGCTCAAAGATGATGTGATTGTAGAGCTGAAGGGAACTGCAGTGTTTCTCATGTTTCACGTAGAAGTCACAGTGATGATGTCAGTATTAAAAAAGGATGATAGCATCTTTAAAGACTAATCCACCTTTACTTCTGAACATTTGCTAAGCCTCGGTACAGTTCTGTGTTGCATCTTGCAGTACTTTTTGCTGAACAGTTTCAGATTTTATGTGTGTTTCCTACTATTACAAGGTTCCATTTGGTCACCCTTCATTTTAGTAAATTCTTAAAACAGCATTGTATTTGTCAGTTTTATATTATTTTTCTGTGATAATGCGGTTAAGTGCAGATTGGTGTGAGCAGTAATAACAACAATAATGTAACTGAACAAAATTATTGCATATTTGACTTTTACTAAGTAAAGCAAACAAGTTTCAACTGTCTGGTCACAGATTTTTTTTAATCATACAGAAAAGAATGAAAACCAAGGGATGCTTGACATGGTTAAAAACACATCCAAAACAATGCAGCTTGGTTTCCATAATGATTCACTGAATGTGGTTAAATATCATAAAACCCTGCAAATCTCCTCTTGAGTTAGTCTTTTAAAGATCAATGCAAGTAGCTCAAGTCTGGTTCAAAATGTAAAAGATACGTTTATACCATACCATACCAACTTTATTTATAAAGCACTAAAACAACCAAGGCGGACCAAAGTGCTGTACATTACAATAAACAATAAATCAAAGACACAACCCACAAGCACAAATAAGATCAACACCAAAATATAAAAACATGAATCAATAAAAATAAATAAAATCAACACCAATATAAAATATCAAAACGCCAACGAGAATAAATGAGTTTTTAAAAGAGACTTAAAAACAGACAAAGAAGAAGCTTGTCTGACAGGCAGCGGTAAATCGTTCCAAAGTTTGGGCCCAGTGACCGCAAAGGCCCGGTCGCCTCTAAGCTTACGCTTTGTTCTTGGCACACTCAAAAGAAGCTGATTGGCTGACCTCAGAGAATGTGTGGGTGTGTGCCAGTGAAGTAATTCGGATAAATAAGGTGGTGCAGAGCCATGAAGGGATTTAAAAATAAAAAGTAAAATTTTGTAATGAACCCTAAAGGTAACCAGGTAACCAGTGCAGGGAAGCTAAAACTGGAGAGATGTGCTCATATTTTCTCGTACCTGTTAACAGATGTGCTGCGGCATTTTGGACCATCTGGAGGCGAGTGATGAAAGACTCACCAATGCCCAGATACAATGTGTTGCAGTAATTCAGTCGGGACGTAATAAAAGCATGAATAAGCATCTCAAAGTGCTATCTAGAGACCATAGATTTTACTTTGGCCAACTGTCTTAATTAAAAAAAAAACTAGATTTAACGACAACTGCAATTTGACTGTCAAATTTCAGGTCAGAATCCATCTTAACACCCAGATTTGAAATATTTTTTTATTGTATTGAGCCAAAAAGCCCAAGTCAATAGAAGGTGACCCAACAGAATCGCCAAACACTATCACCTCAGTCTTCTCCTCATTCAGCATCAAAAAATTAAAAGCAAGCCAAGATTTAATGTCATCGAAACATTCAAGCAGTGTTCTAACACAAGAGTTTGCTTTTTTAACCAGTAAATAAAGCTGCATAAAAATGAAAGGAGATGCCATGTTTCCTAAGTATAGAGCTGAGTGGGAGAAGATAAAGGGAAAAAAGAAGGGGCCCAAGAACTGAGGGTTGCGGAACCCCATACAAAAGGGGCTCAGAAGAAGACACAGCATCCCCAAGCGTCACACAAAAGGATCTATCCTTAAGGTAAGACCAAAACCATTCTAGGGCTAAACATCAAATACCCAGTGCTCTCAACGAGAAATAAGAATATCGTGATCCACTGTATCAAAAGCGGCGGTCAAGTCTAGGAGCACTAGGACAACACATTTCCTTGAATCAGTTGCCAGAAAAATATCATTTAAAACTTTCATCAAAGCTGCCTCAGTGCTGTGCAGGGTTTTAGATCCTGACTGGGACAACAACATCCACATACAGCACACTATTACAGTCACAAAACAGTATATAACAAAATAACCCACTGGCTTCAACCTTGTCCATGTTTCCTCAAAGCAAACCTCAAGCTGTCACTTTTCATCTGGTGATATGGTGGAAACTCAAACACAACAAACTTTTACTTACTTTCTGATTTTTGTTCCTGAGAATATTTTGCTGTATTGTACTTGAACTTACCCGGTGTCAGACATGCACCTCTTTATGCAGATGTTACATTTACTGTAAGTAAACTTCCCAACAGCAATCACAGTAGGACAGACATTCCTGCATCACTGTGAACATGGCACAGGTCTGAACTGAGTCCTGTCAGATTCATGTAAAGGCTGCAGAACCACAAGTTAAACAAGTGGAGAGAGTGTGAAATATACATCCTGTACTATCTTCTAAGATCATTGCAATGCATTTATTATTTCAGTCATAATCTCTTATGCACAAAAACAGTTTAAGGAATGAAGAAATGCTCTAAAAGAGCTGGGATTGGTTTGTTGAGGAGATTCTTCTCTTATCAGATCAGTCTACTAAAAATATTTCCCTTGCAGTGTGACTTGGGCAAAAGAGGTTGAAAACCCCTGTGCAATCGGAGCATTAATCTGGTCAGCAGTCTCTCACCATGTTTTTAATGTTCATTCATGCCAGCTGCATAGAATATATTACCTCGATCTTCCATCTTGAAGACAAATCTCAGAATTTGTATTTCTGCTCTGAAGTGTGAGGGTGAGGATGCACTAGACCAACATCCTTCAGGCACAGACAGCCCTGGAGTGAAAGCAGCTGAGCAGTCTGATCTGAGAATATGTTGCAACATCAGTGACACAGAACAAACCCCATTTGAGCATTAATGTCATGATCTTGATTTGTTTTCAGATTTGCTGTCCTGTTAAACCTGATGCATCTGCAGGTCTAAAGAACCTTAAACAACTTCCTTCATTCATTAGAAATAGTTCTAGCTTCAAGATCTCTTATTTCTCATTTAATTTGTATAATGAGTAATAGCTACTGTGCAATCATGAACAAGAAGAACATCTGAAGTCTTACAGCAGTAAACATGTTCATTGTGTCCTACTGTCAATTCCTTTCAGTCACATGCAAGGCTGAAAAGACCTGTGCCAGAGAGACACAGAGTTTGTATAAAACATTTGGACATAATGAATCATTTCTACAAAACATGAAACATTCTAATCACAACCTGGCTTACTGACCTGACCTGAAAATGCCAAGTCTGGGGAGCGCCTGGCTGTTCACCAGCTAGTTGCTAACAGAAGTAGTTTGCTGAAACTGCAGTTTGACATGCAGCAGTCACGTTATCACATCATCGTTATTAATAGTTTGTGATTTTGTATAGCCACCTCTGCATTTAATCTCCTTTCTCAGTCTGCTGCTCTGCTCCAGCTGGCTGTAGATGGAAATGAGAGAGGCATCAGAGGGGCTCTGACATATGAGTCAGCGTGAGCCAACCACGTGTGGGAAATGAAACAGGCCAGAAATAAACAAACCCATAGAAACACAATAATGCTCACACCTTAATACATTTACAGACTCCCTTTAAATGTCACTTCTTTCATTCCTCTTTTCAAATCAGTAGTGAGGGCTAAGAAGGAGCATTTCTATTTTATGTGGGTTTGCTCTAACATGAAATTCTAAAAATATTCATTTATCAAAAGATGAAGGATATGAAGGATAAATAAATACTCGTATGACTGCATATCCTCTTAATAAATAAACAGAAAAACACACAGAAGCTCTTGATGCAAATGGGAGCTGCTTACTGGCCAGTCAATAACTAGGACCATTTAACTCAGCAACTCAATTAAGGAAGCAGCAATCTGATCTGCTGTCCTAACCTTCCATTATAGACCCCAGGGTCAGAGCTACTTCTGAAGGAGCACCCTGTTTGGCTGGGTGAAGGAGGTGGGAGGATACTGATAAATGATGGTTCACCCTCCACTCAGGCTGTGGATGGTGAAGTGTAGGGGATTATTGTATTATTAATCTGTTTAAGATGACCCCACATTCTGGCTCGGTAACACTGGGTGGATGCTAAATGTGGTGCTGATGGACTTGATGCTACAAACTGTAATCACTGTACTTCCCAGTCTGAAAAAGTCATACCAGTCATACCAACAAAGGACAACACTTACATAACACAATCCCCCACACCATGCCTCTACTGCTCCATTGGTGGGCAAACATGGGTACAATACATATGGTTTTCCGACCTGGTCTCATTCCCAGGGCATCAAGTACTGAGGTTACTGTATGTCACCTACCCTTGGTGTCGGTGGTAGGTGCACAGGCTTTTCAAATATACCATACCATACCATACCATACCATACCATACAAACTTTATTTATAAAGCACTAAAACAACCAAGGTGGACCAAAGTGCTGTAAATTACAATAACCAATAAATCAAAGACACAACCCACAAGCACAAATAAGATTGACACCAAAATATAAAACATGAATCAATGAAAATAAATAAAATCAACACCAATATAAAATATCAAAATGCCAACGAGAATAAATGAGTTTTTAAAAACAGACAAAGGACGAGAGGCAGAAAAATCATAAACAGGAGATAAAATTTGAGCTCTGGTAGAGATAACCTTGCTGTTAAAAAAGTATATAAATTGCTGACAGAGGGTGGGGGAAGACTCAAAACACGCAGCCTGAGGGACATTCAAAACTGAATCAATAACTTTAAACAAAACATGAGGCTTATGACAGTTTGTTTGAATGATATTAGAGAAATAATTTCTCTTAAGATTTTTCTCAGTTTTTTGATAGCTATGCCAAGAGTCTCTTAGTATCTGAAATGATACTTGTAATTTGTCCTTTCTCCACCTGCGCTCAGCCCTGCGACACTCATGCCTGGCATAATATATCTCTACAATTTAGAGGATATACAGTACTGTATTTTTAAAAAAAAGCTTTAGAAGTAGTTTTTTAGTTTTATGCTCTCAATCATTTTATAATAATTAGTGTTTTTGTAATACATTTTGTATGGAATGACTTCTTTGGATTCTTTCTTCAGCTTTTCTGTTCTCATGTTGTGACTGTGGCCTCTCGGCTCATCAACTGCTCCGTCTGTGTGCGTCACACACCATCCACCTTCCATCGACTCTGGCATCTTGATTGAGTGCAGCTCAGCAGAGAGCATGGTCACAGGGCTGAGCGGTGTGTGTGCTCACCAGTTTTCAGGGCAGCCTTGGCAGAGTTGACAGACGTAGTGTCAGGAAACACATTTCTGACTGAATAAGACCTTATATTTGTGATGATGATTCTGAGA